ATTTCATTTACTTCCGTAATAATTTTTAAAAATTCCTTTATTTTATTTTATATATTAAAAATTTAATTCTTTAACATAATATTACGTAATATTACGTTTTTTGCAATTTTTTTATTTAATATGTAAATAAGTATTTACAAATTACTTTTTTTAAATATATAGTAAAATTTTAACTATTTAAATCGGTAAATTATAAGTAAGTTTTTTTATTTTACGTTTTATTTTACCTTTCCCAATTAAACTTAAACAATACAATTATTGTTTATTTTAAAATGGTTAAAATAAAATTTTAAATATTTATTATATATTCTATAAATAAAACGATAAATTTTAAGTTTTATTTTACCACCAATTTTATCATTTTATAAAATTAAATTAATATTTTTTAAACATTTAATTAAATATTATTCTTTAATTTACTTTAACTTTATAACGTTTTAATAAGTTATAAACATTATTTAAATATCATTATTTTATTATCTCGAATTTTCCCGCCATTTAATTCATTATTTAAAACAGTTATATCATTTTTACATGACGTATATTTACGCTCATTTTATTAATAAAATATCTTTACTCGTAAGTTTCGCATTTATACTTTTTAACTTTATTTATTAACGTATAATTTACGTAAATAATTCATTAAAATTTAATTTAAAATCATACAATTTACAAAGTACGTATTAATAAACCATCCGTATTTTTTTTTATTTTACATTTATAAATTTATTAATTAATATCCGTAAAACTTTAAATATTCCGTATTTAATATCAAAAAATTTATAAGATATATAAGTTTTTCGTCACCATTTTAAAGTTTTATAATCGTTAATTTTACAAAAGTTATTAATACTTACATACTTATATAACTTATCGCATATTCGAAAATAAATACTTAATAATCCATACAAGAAAATACCTTTTACCATTGCTATTATCTTACATTTATTTAATACAAGTTTCCAATTAACCAATAATTATCGCAAACATCTTTTTACCATATACCTAAAGGCCATTAACCAGCATACACTCCCATTACAACCTTGGAAAATAGTTAAAAGATATTAAAATATAAAAAATATTTGGAATAAAAAACCTAAACTAAATAATATATGGTTTCCAATAAATATATATAAAAATGGTTATATTAAATATAATATAATACTTATTATTATATATTCATTATTATTTTATATCCGGTTTTTTTATAATTTTATAATATAAATTACGATATAACGGTAAAACTATTACCAGCCATTTCAGCTATACCACTATTATAAAACCACACCATTATTGTAAAACCACACCATTATTGTAAAATTATACTATTATTGTAAAACCACACCACAATATTAACCGCAAAATAATGTTAATACAATAAATTTTATTAAATTAAACGCAAAGTTTTAAAACTATCGTAATAAAATTTTACCATAATTATTATAACAACAGCAATTTTAAATTATAATAATTTTCCATATATTATAGTTTTTCCAAATAATTAAAATAACTTTTTAATAATAATCTTTTTATTATTTTCGTAATAAATATAATAAAAAAATATTTTAAAATAATAATAACACTTTAACTTAACTTAACATATTATACCAATAATAAAAATAACAAAAAAATAATAAAATACAACTTTAATATTTATATAAATATATTATTTTTTAAAAATCTCATTTTATGTTAAAAATAACTTTTAAAAATTATTAATTTCATTAAACTTTAATATTTACAATATTATAACAATATTAAAATAAATATAATTTATAATAATCATAAAATTATTTATATATAAATAATATTATTATAATTTAATTATTATAATTCGAGTTTTATATTAATTAAATTAAAAAATACATTTTAAATACTTAAAAAATAATATAAACATTTTTATAAAACAATATTTATTACATTTATTTTATAATTAACATTATAAAATAAATAATATATAAGTTTTAAAAAATAATAATAATTAATCCAATATATATATTAATATAAAACGTGTGAGTTTTTATTGTTTAAATAAATTATTTTAACTTATTTTTATAATATTGATAGATTAATATTAGTCTGTCTTAAGACCCCCCCCACCCGGGTAAGTATTTAAGCATAAAGCATAAATCAGGTGTTAAAAGCTTGACGTTAAGGATTATGCAAGAGATGCATCGGGCTAGTCAACAACCGAGCCGCTAATTTGTTATGTTGTGCAATGCAATGCAATCGTATCGCGTATCCGTATTCGGTGCTATGTACGGATCCGTAGGAGACCTTTTCCGTTATTTATACTTGATTGCTCCATATTAGTCATGCTAAGCGATGCTGTATGCGGGGTTTTCAGCTCGTACTAGTATTTATGAAGTGTAGTAATAGTGATCTAATAGTGATCGTGGAGAAGCTTGAACCTGGAAGGGTTAGCTTGCTGACGTTGGGTCTCGCTACAGTATGCACCACGTGGAGACGTGAAACAATAGTAAGATATATAGGAGATATGAGTGGTAACAGTTATGTTCCGGAACAAGATGTCCAGGATATAATATAAAGTCGATCGCCTTTCAGTAGGTTGGGCTGCGACTTTTATGCTCTAGAGTCTAAACATCATATTGACGGCCATATTCAAAATGGAGGCCATTCAGCATCTTCTCCCCCAGGGACTGCCTGTGTCCCTTCAAGTGGTCATTGCTACCCTGGTACTTGGCTTCATCTACTCGCTAGTCACCGCAGACCGACCTTTTGCTGGATTTCCAGTCATAACAGTTGATGGACAGAGTCCAACGAAAACTTGGCTATGGCACGGCAGGAAAGCCGTGGCCGAAGGCGTAAAAAGGGTACAGCTACCTCACCTAGGCATATCCCTGTCAAAATTATATCGCTAATTCATACGTAGTTTTCCGGGCCATTCCAAGTCATGACAGGAACGGGTCCGAAGATTGTCTTGCCCAATAGATTCGCTGACGAACTTCGTAACCATCCCTCGTTGAATTTCAACAAGGCCTTTGCTAAAGTACCTACTCCATCACATATCTGCTATGAAATCTCGAAAGTGACTAACAGGGCTAGGATTTTATGGTGAATTATCCAGGATTCGAAGCTCACCGGCTAGGCCTACGTGACGAGTCTCTAATTCAAGATACGGTACGGGTGAAGTTAACTCAATCACTCAACTTGATTACGGATGACCTGGTCGACGAAACAGCGGCATCACTCCACGATGTCTTCGGTGACAACAAGGAATGGACCACCAGGCTCATTAGAGACGATATGCTCGAAGTTGTCGCTCGACTTTCATCAAGGGTATTCTTAGGAAGAGAACTATGTCGGAATCGGAGATGGCTTGATATCTCTAAATCATATACTGTGGACTCATTTCTTGTCTCGCGTCTAATGAGGGCTGTTCCTTCGTTTCTACGTCCCATCGCTTATGTATTAATCCCGCAATCGAGATCTCTCCGCCACGCCGTTAGAGATGCACGAAAACTCATCAACCCCGAGGTACAACGCCGTAAAGCCGTTGTCGATGCAGCGCATGCGGCGGGCGAGAAGCCCCCGAAGGTCGCGGACACAATCGGCTGGATGTATGAGGTTGCTAAAGGACGAGATGCCGACTACGTCGCAGGGCAGCTTTCGCTGACAATGGCTGCTATCCACACGACTACGGAGACAACTTGTTCGGCACTACTTGACATCTGCGAATATCCCGATGTGGCTCAGCAGCTTCGACAGGAGATCATCGAGGTCATTGGCGAGCACGGATGGGCGAAAACTTCTCTGTACAAGCTTAAGCTTATGGATAGCTTCCTCAAGGAGGGCCAACGATTCACGCCCATGGGCGCAAGTATGTTTCTCCACAACCCCTTTTTTCATTTAAGCTAAACAAAAGAATCTAGCTACTATGCACCGATACGTAGAGAAGGACTTGGAACTCTCTGATGGAACCGTGTTACCGAAGGGCGCACGCATTGTGGTAGCGGGTAACTTCATGGATCCAACTATTTACCCCGAGCCTGAGAAGTTTGATGCCGCCCGGTTCTTAAAGATGAGGCAACAGCCCGGCCAAGAGAACAGCTGGCAATTCGTGACCACTAGTCCGGCCCACACTCTTTTTGGACACGGGCAGCACGCATGTCCCGGCCGGTTCTTTGCCTCAAACGAAGTAAAGATTGCGCTATGCCATCTATTACTTAAATACGATTGGCGGTTCATTCCAGAGGAGGGTCGACCAGCCCCGCGAATCTTCGAAGGTGTCAACGCCGTTGACCAGAAGTCGAGGATCCAAGTGCGACGGAGGAAAGCAGAGATTGACCTTGATGACTATTGAGTGGATTGTCTTGTAGAGTATCGCATTATGTCGAACATTTCTGTATTGCCCATACCCCTGAAAGTACTTATATATATCCAATTGTTCTTGAGAAACTAGCGCCGCGATATGTCTCGTAACAAGATGAACTATTAGCATTACTTTACTTGGTTATAATATAATTTCTGTATCTCTTATGTGTTTGTATTGGTAATTGCGATATCTTATATTACACCTATAAAGATTAGGTACGTATAGCTTATTCCTTCGAATCCTTACGACTATCAATTCTAGCTAAGATACTATTAGACAGTCCATACAATTATTATCTATTCGATTTAGACTGTTTCTATAGCAACTCTTTTCATGCTGCGTCCTGATTGTATAACCTTCTTGGAGTTGATTTCAATACAGCTACGCCAGTGCCCATTTCGGATTTCGGTTAGGCGTATAATGGGGGAAAACTACAGTAGAAGATTACTTTTTGAAATTCATTTGGTCGATGTGAGGCTCTCTGCTGGCCTAGTACCTGTCTGGCCAGTTAAGTTTTTTACTTTACCAATCGCCACCCTGTCACACATACCTTTTCACACAATTATTGCTCTACATGCACAATACAAAATCATGACGAACTATAGTATTTGATGCTTCTTCAAGCATTATATGTTATTGGTCCCCTTAATCTGGTATATCCAGTTCAAACTAGTTCGATTTCTTGTTCCACCCTGCGGATCTCTCCCTCACTGATACTTGGGTTATCGCCAGTGCCCTCCTGCTTAGCGCCGCTCTCAGCAGCCTCGCGCTGCTCTTCTTCCTTCTTTTTCTCTGCCAATTGATGTTCTTCGCGTCTAATTTCCTGCAAGTCAATGTCTTCGAAACCGATACGCTTAAGGATCGGTGCCGTCGCATGTCGGTACAACGTGTGGCCTTTGACTAGATCACCAACGTCAACGTTCTCGACGCCACGGACATCGAGAACAGGATGTAGCCCGGCAACTCCGAACTGGATGCTGCTACTTCTGTATAAAAACGCGAGAATGTAGTCATCCGCGCTGTATGCATTAACAACTCTTCCGGCAACGACAGAACGGATGCGGCGCCAATCGGCTGAACTGCTGGGAATCGGCGCGCCCAACATTATGGCATTCTCGATTAGACCAAAGGCCTTCCGCTTAGCAAGCTCCTGTAGACACACATATATAACCTTAGCGCCGAGGGAGTATCCGATAAGTGTGACAGGTCGCTCGCCTTGCGCTTTGTTTATAAGAGCATCGGCAAGAACTTCTCCAGCTTTTTGGGCACGCTGGTTAGCAATACTCCAGGGGTTGTCAATAATATGACTGGCTTTCTATATTGATATTAGCATCCTGTGATAAGCGCCAGTTATACTTCGTCTAAGTACGCTGTCTTCGGAAGGGATAGGGGTAGGCATAATGTGATATGCCAATGAGTGTGTCACTAGTCGAGTGCCCGGGGGAGCGCGGGATCACTAATATGAATACACGCGGTTTAGGGGAGGTATCGCACGTACCAGCAAGCCTAGCGGCCACAAGCCAGCGGACAATGCCGCAAAAACAGTGCGTTTAATGATCTCAGATTTCGCGTAGGACCAAGCCGTGGAAGTGACTAGGGTTGTAAGCGCGTTCCCCAGATTGATCAGCGCTTCCAGCTCGAAGCGGAGAGCAAACGGTTCTTGGCCTGGACCGATACATTTCCAGGGCGTGACCACCTCGTCTTTATCGCCCAGCCAGCCAGAAATACCAATGGCAATTCGCAACCGGCGTGCTTCAATTTCACTCTCCCCTGGTTTTTCGATGGGCACAAAAGCAAAGTCTTCCACATCTCGAGTATATTGTTCCACTGCAACATCGAGAGTAAGTAAATGCCACTAGGATTATCATAAAGTAATCTCGAGCCGTCAAGCTTATTCCGTAGACTCCTGGCTCCTGAGAGAGCAGACCTACATAGAGCGGGAGTATGGCTTTCAGATTGTGATAAGGGGGTTTACTTACTAGCTTCACTTGTCATCTTAGCACCCTAGGCTCCAAATAGACCACCTACTAAAACGCCACTTCCGGCTAACGCTCCAAGATAGCCTGCCGTAGCGGTAGCCCCGAGACCAATTCCACCTAGAACAGTGCCGACCCCAGAGGCCAGGAGAGGAGCAGCCAATCCGCCGGTGATACCGATGAGGGCCGCACCAGCGACTCCAGCTACGCCCATCTTCCACTTGCGAGCGGTACGGTTCTCTTCAGCTCTCTTCTTCGTCTCCTTATCAGCCGACATTTTCTTAGCCGCCGTAAGAAGCCCGCGAGCGACTTTCTTTTCGTCCTCTGAAAGCACCGTAGCCGAGAGACCCAGGCTGGTGGTTAGGTACAGCAATAGAACCCGCGAATAGGCGTTATAGTCCTCCAGGCTCAGAAGGAGCAGGAGTACTGAGTGAAGTATTAGTATCCGCTTCTCCTTGGCCATTTTGCGCAACGCGGTTTCGACGGGGGGGTATCTCTTCAATAATGCTTCGGTGATCGTATTCTCGTGCTCCTCAGTCTCGATACCCTCCAATCTCGGTTCAGTATCTAAGCCTGCGAGTTCTGGCTTGGCTTGCTTCGATTGTTTCTCGGCTGTTTTCCTAGAGTTAACAACTTCCCCGACACGGATCACAACGGTGTCCCTCCAGTTGTCAAAAAACTCTAGTACGCTTGTCTTGAGCGTAACAATTTCCTCTTCGCTAACCTCCTTCTCACGTTCGGCTAGTTCTGTTTTTTTATTTTCTAGTATCTTTTGTATTCCCTTCCCTCGTTCCTCATCGCTGAGTTTCTCGAGATTAGCCAGTTCGCTATTGTCGCTCGCCAGCGCAAAAAGGTGGTCTTCTTGAGAGCCCGTTTCTTTGGGGTCGAAGGTGTCTATAAGGCGTTTGCGCATAAGTTCAGTAATGTCAGAAACGAGAATTGTGAGTGAGCTACGGTCTTCATCCGTATCTAGAACGGTTGTAAGCGACTCGCCCTCCTCATCATATTTCTTCGATCCATCTCCGTCGCCGCCACCTAAGAAAGTACTGGCTTTCTGGAACATGGACGACATTTTTCGCACTTGATTACAGAAGTTTATTCTTGAAAGCAAATTCAAGGTAAGCAAATGTAGTTTTTGTTACCTATGCCCAGTGTCAAAGGAATACGTCATTAATCTCGACTTAGCTTATAGCCGATATCCCTGTTAGTAGGTTTTGCCCTTAGCTTATAGCATTAGAATATCTTCGCTGAACATCATAACCAGATTAACTCGTGGCAAATTTTATAAGCGGAGGCTAGTCATGATTCTTTCATCTACGTAGATAATTCATTATCTATGGAATGTAATGACTTAAGTAAACGCTATACACTCTAGTCGATAGAAGACTAGGTACTGATGTATTTATGCATATAACCGCTAGTAACATTCCGATTGATGAATACGCATACAAGACAACATTAAGAGGTAGGAAAGTTGATAACATTAACAGACTAAGTCTCAAGATAGGGGAATAGGAAAGAAAGAAAGATGATAAATTCTCAGTGAATATCCTCAAGTATATATCGGGTACCTAAATTACATAAATTACCATGTATGGTAACTAACAAAATAGCCAGTGAATGCTGGAAACACGATTCCTTAAAACAAGACTCCTAAAAAACAACCAAGTCTATCAACTTGACCCTCCTCTAAAATAACAATATATGAATATATGAGTTAAGCACGCCCATTTATATTCCAGAGCGATATCATCAGCGTCTACGATTGCGGTTGAAAATATCTAAATCCATAGGTGAGTATTTATTTCATATATTTGGGCACGGGGGAGGTACTCACTTCGGAGCTGATTGCCAAAACGATCTCTACGGCGTATACGAGGCGCAGCAAGCCCGTGTCTTGGAGGACTACGGTCACGCCCAATCCGCCGCAGAAATCTGTCTCTAAAATTACGCCTGCCCGCCGGCCCTGGAGGCAACGCGGGTCCTATGGGTGGCGGAGGCCCAGGCGGTGGTAGCCAGTCCACTACCCCCTCGGGCACCGGGGGAAGAGGGGGAAATTCAACTACACCTGCTGCTGCAGCCCCGGGTCCGTCAAACCCTGCAAACGGGTTTAACGGGTCTATATTTTCACCATTTTCAAGGAATATTTCATCGTCGTCGTCGTCGTCGTCGTCATCGTCATCGTCGTCATCGGCGTCTACAATCTCGCCCTCACCTTCCTCTCCAATTCCATGTGGTGCTTCCCAAATTACTTCATGCATCACGTTTCCCATGGGAATATCTCCATATGGTGGCCCGGGAGGTTGGTCGCCACCTCCCCCACCCCCTTTAACTACGACGCCGCCACCCCCATGTGGTGGTGGAACCGGAGGTCCGAAAGGTCCAGGAGCTCCATGGTGTCCATGGTGTCCATGGTGACCAAACGGTCCGGGAGGTCCAAACGGTCCGGGAGGTCCAAACGGTCCGGGATGTCCAAACGGTCCGGGATGCCCAAACGGTCCGGGATGTCCATGGTGTCCATGGTGTCCAAATGGTCCGGGAGGTCCGGGCGGTGGGAAGGGTCCGGGAGGCCCGAAAGGTCCTGGAGGAGGATGCGGTACCGGATGGTGAGCCGGTCCTGCATGGGGGGCTGGAGCTGGTGGAGGGGGATCGTCGGGCTCAACGGCGTCGTAGATACTAATATGGCAGAAATACGTATGTTAGTAATCCAATACCTTATTGGTAGGATACACACTCTTCTACCCAAGAGGTGCCTGGCTAAAACTGATGGCTATAGAAGAGACAAGGCAATGGGAGTCGCTTTACATACTAGAAAAAGGTTAGCTAAGGGGCCAGGTTAATAGCAAAAGGGTGCTCAAGAAGTTAAGGCTGGGCCCAGGATGCGACCTGCTCTATCACATACCAATGTTTTAACCCAGTTTTTAATTACGTCGTCAGTCTCACCCTCGTATTCCCGTTGTGTACCTTCCTTTGCCTGCGCTATTAGAACATCTAGTGTTGGTCGCTCGTCGGGGTAGTGCCTCATGCATTGCATAATTGTAGTCCGGAGGTCTTCGTCTATATAACTTAACTCGGGGTCGTCCATGAGCAATGCTGCATAGTGAAGGGGATCATCCGAGCTCTGCTGGGGCGGAATCGGCGGGCGAGATGTTGTCATGAGCGTCCATAAGGTCTACATAAACGTCAGATCGCTTGTAACGCTCGCTACCGTGTCCAGAGAAATCTTACCAAAGCAATTCCCCATACATTCATCGGTGATCCGTAATTTCCAGCTACCCTTTGCTCCGAGACTTCCCAACCCATCGTGCCTCTAACTTCTAGGTAATCCCACTCACTTCCGAATTGTTCAGGGGCATAGTGGCCGTATTTCCCGGTGAAGCGATGCCGAAGGTAGTATTGACTGTGTTTGATTTATAAGTAATGACTAAAATATAGAATAAGGACAGCAGTGCAACTTACTTTCCCTTGTTACGCTTTATCTTCCTCATACGTCCAAAGTCCGCGAGCTAAGCTATAGTTAGCATACGAGAAGAAGAAAAAATAAAAAAGAGAAAAAAAGAATGTTAAAAGTTTTTTTTTGGACGACCAGCTTACCTTCAGTTTAGGAATTATAACATGCTCACCATCCGTGTCATGTATGTCTAGGCCACCGATGAAGACTTGATAATTTTCACATTTAGTCTTGTCTCATAGTATAGAAAGATGGGAGAAAGTCTCTCACTATTTCTAGCGTCGATATCAAAATGGACCAACCGCATTCCAGCATATCGCTTAGCGATAGGCGGGACCTCTTCGAAGAGGTCGTCTCCGATAGCTTTCCACTCTTCAGGCCCCCCCTCGGGATTTGAAAGCTGCCTTACCCTGTCCGCGTCTGCGACCCTTTGCGGAGCGTGTCTGTCGTGTCGCCCAGGATGGAATAACCGCGGAGGATACCTGTAATAGCCCATTGAATTAATATAATTTTTCGATGAGTCTAGGACTACCGAGTCTGGGAGAAAGGGGTGGGGATTGTCTTTGGGTCCGAGGACTCCTTACTCTAAGGCAACACACGCCCTAACCACTGAGAATAGCATTAGCCAGATCATATAGAAATGGGGATGGGGAAAGAATAGATCGAGGGTGTAACACACAGCAAAGCCAAAAGGACCAAAGAACACGGTTAGGGACTCTCTTCGTTTTGTCACCCTTGGCCTTTTCAATCCTTTGGATGAGGTGCGCTAGGTCACCGTTTTCCACAAACTCCAAGATAACATAATCATGGCGGAAGATTGGATTATTTGGGTCATTTCCAACCCTATTACGAATCATATTGTCAATCAATTCATCTCGCTCCCTGATTCTGTCCATGTGAAATTCATGTTTCACCGCCGCATCTTCAGGGTCGTTTTCATGAGTGAATTTCCGAGAGTCATCCCACCCCCGAAGGGCACGATCCTCGTCCGGGAATTCAATTTCTGATTCCCTTAGAGAAGCAACATCTTCGTCGTCGTCGCTCGAATCGTACTGATCTATTGGGTCGTATTCATAGGCCTGGTAGTCTGCTTGCAAGGCTTCATTTCGAGGGACCGTCTGGATGCAATGGGCCGCACGGGCTACTTCCTGCCAGGTTGTTAGAAGATATACAACAGCGATTATTACCTGTACTATATACCTGTAACGCCCGCTCTTCACGACGGATCTCTGGACTGAACCAACCCTGGCGACCAATCTTGAATACCAGTTCGTAAGGTGGGCGTACGCTTCTGAACTTTAAAGCTATGCCATTCCCACCGTAGCCTAGTACTTTTGCAAGTTTAAGATCATGTAGTGGACGTCTCTCGAAATATCTTTGAGCAGCCCGACATCTTTCTCTTATTTCATTCCTATATGGCTCGTCCCATAAATCGGATGTTTGGAGCACAAACGGTGGCCACGTGCTTTCCCAACCCTCAGTCCGGTATGGAATCCGCTGCCAATTCTTTTTTATGTTATAATCTCGAGGGTTAACTTCTCCTGGTTTCGGAAACGGAGCTTCCGCCCACTCCTCTCGATCCACGCGATAGTCTCTGAAGCCCTTTACAACGTGGCCGCCCTCCTCTCGATATTTCTTCCAGAGAGCATTTACAGCTCTATAGTGTTCTGAGAAATTCCTGGGGTTCCCATACATCTGGGCTTGCATCCACCCCGGCGCATCCCGCATCAATTCATCCATTTTCGATATTATACTTCACGTAGAGGCTTGAAGCTGTACATTAGACAAGCAATTCTAAAATTGAGACACGAGAATACCACCTTGCTTGTAGTCCGGAAATATGGCTAGACAATTTTGAAAGACCATAATCATCATTGTGCTATTGTGCTGCTTGCAGTAATCGAATCCACAAAATTCCATTTGGTAGACAAAGGGACTTGACGGTCAGGTTTAATTAGTAGGGTATTCCTACGCAAAGTACATACCTAGGGAATATGAAAGAAATATTAAGAGGTACTCATAGAAGAAAGGATTTTGTAAAGAGCTGAGCAACACCTTTACAGTGGGTTCATATATCCAACTGACCATTCTATAGTCAAATCCAAATATTACCGCATGCAAAAAAGGTTTACGCTATTTAAACTCACTACATGCTTCTTATATGATTTATTATTCACAGAATGTCATCTTAATTGATGGTGCACTTCCCGGCGTGGGAAATCTAAGTCCTTATCTCCATACTATGGTCTATAAAACCAAGTATTAATAGCGTTATCGCTATTGAGAATTAACAAAATATACTTACCGCAATAATGCAAATCAGGAAGTATAAAAGCAGAAGGATGCCTTCAGGTGGTATTCAATGAGTCTCTCAAGTAATGTTTCGATTATTAAATAAGTAGTTCAAAATAGGTCACAAAGCTGCTACATGCTCTCCCTATGCGTCCAAAGCACCCTGTTATCCCAAGTCTGCCCGAACCCTAAGAATACAATAACTGCGTTTCCTTCTAGCCAGCAGATACGATATATATCTTGGTTGAAGAAGTACTTGTTATATTAGGACACCTTCGTTACTGGTTGTTTCAGTGAGGAAGTAGGACTTAGATTTACAGGCCATACGAAGAAGCAGGCATAACAGGTTATAATTCTATTTTATAGTCTGACGGATGAAATTCAACTACGGTAACATATAGTATTTCCCTTTTGGCCAACTCGAATGGTCAGTTACACATCGTGTGCGAATCTAACATCCAACCCAGGTACCTAGGTAAGTATATTCCAATTATAATTCATCGCATATCTACCTAGGTAAAACCACAATCATAATAGTAATATAATAGGTAGGTACTTAGGTAGATTTGCCTTCTATAAATAAAACTTACCAAGGCAGGTTCCCCAAGACTTAGCACGGGACTGAGAACTCGTTGTCTTCGTACCATGGCTTCCGCATGCAGTATATTTCGAGGAGATTCTTTGATTCTACCACCGGTCCTTGTTGTCAATAATACCTAGTTAATATTGGAGTATTATTTCACAGCATGAACAAGGTAAACAATAAGAAAGCAACAACCTCATTACCCCATGTAATTATTTTGGCCAAAAACGGTATTGTCTCGGTTAGTTAATAGAGAAATAAAACTTCATAAGTGAAAGTTGAAATGCTCATAAGAGTTATAATATACTACTTTTACAACGATTATAAAGAATTGTGGATGCCCATTCGGTTCACCACGCGCTTAAGTTCTAGGTGACTACCTAAGTACCTAAGTTTTAGAGACCTAAAGGATGCTATAGGCATAGGGATGTTGTGTCAATTCGACGGTTAACAAATCTATCTGGCAACTCGGTTTCTTTGTTAGAATTGCTATCTACCTCACTTGAACAATAATACGCATAATAAATGGCTGTATTATTTAATAGTCTTGTGTAGATTAAGTATGGGTATGGTCACAAGAATTTATCTCGATACCTGCTAACCACATATTTGCCACCGTTTACATAGTGAAGTTAGTTCTAATGTATGCCAAAGAGTGAGGTACTCATGCTTTACGTTATTATGGGACGTGGACCGGATGAGTGTATAATTTCCGAATTCATCTCTGCAAACCTAAGATACTAAGAATATATATGTGCAGCATCTATTTATAAGCCGTTGAGCAATGCAAAGTGCAAATTCCAACCCTTTTGTATCTCGGGGATTAGACGCCTTGCTAATCAAACTCCATATGCCGGAGAGCCGTGTCAGTGATGACGCATATCTAGTAATGTCCGACCTTACCATCCAACGCCAAGTCCATTGAAATAATTTCTATTCGTACCACATCCATCCTCATGCAAGTCATTCCCCTTGTTATATGGCATATAGGAGAAGTCGCAACTTATTTGAGCGGGCCGTTAGTCGAAAACATCAGCGTCTCCACCGTCCCAATCAGGATCTGAGTCTTCCGGCGAGTCCAAGAAGTCCTCCATGTCAAACTGTCTTTCCATGGGACGATGGTTATCGACTTGAATATCCACCACATCACAAAGACCATGAACGAATCCATCGTCCGATAGGCGTCTTGTAACCTTTCTCACCTTACGTTCCAATTTATTCTGATCAGAATGGTCAGCGGCCAATTCATCTTCGCTCTCTTCGTCGTCGGCATCTCGTTCCTTTAGTAATAATCCACTCCCCCTGAGTCGCTTGAGTTCTCTGCTGATGGCCGAGGCTCTCGTAAGCTCGGCTTTACTAGGGTAATTCGGCTCCCCTTCTGACGAGGTGGGTGCCGGTGAAAGGTTAGCGATTCGCGTACTTCGTCGCTTTGGTAGTGCTGCAGAAGTCGAGATCTTTGGTTTTAGCTCCTTCTGGTCCTGCCGTTGAGGCCTGGTCGGCGGTGGGCGTACTGCCTTGAAATCTTTGGGTGGCTTTGTCTTCCTCTTGAAGACCCTCGCCATCTTATCAACCCAGAACTCTCGGAGTTCTTGGCGTTGGCGCCAACCTATGTCTAGTGCGACCCTCAGTGCAAGACGGCGAAGGTGGGGGAGGTCTGACGCGCTCCGCACCAAGCTTTGAAAGAAGGTCTCTGCTGCCCTACGACCCCACTTCCGCATGTGGAGGATTTCGATAGATTGTATCGAAGACGGCCATGTCGGCACATCATCCTCCGTAAGAAGAACATCGTATTCGGGTTTATTGTCAGCATAGTGTTCATGGTGTCGGAAATAAGACAAATCCATATAGAGGTGTTGTAGCCTCGGGCAAGCTGACTGTAGGGTAGGGAGAAAGGCTAAGCTCAACGATTGACAGTGATTGATGGTAAGGCTTTGCAAGTGGCTCCCATGCGTAAGTAGAAAATCAATAAGATCACCTGCTGTCAGCTCCCAGCAGTTAATAAGCTCAAGGTGTTTGAGAGAGGTGGGAAGTTGATCGAGTAATAGGCCGTTAACCAATGTACATGACTCCAAGATGAGATGCTCAAGGTTTGGCAAAGCTGAAATACAGGCGGAGAGTTGGGAAACTTTTCGATGGTTTTGTCTCTCTATCTCTTCACTGGACTGCTGCCTAGCCGACAAACCCCAGGACGCAAGTTGATAGTTCACAAAAGCTACTTTTTGCAAGCTGGCAAAACTAGAGTTCAAATGAAATTCTGCCAGCTTATCCAGGGAGAGTGATTCGGAAGTGAGACGCGAATTCCAACGCCAGCTCTTCAATTGCGTGGGGGCAGTCGCATCACTAGCTTTGCGGCCTGCCAGGGTTTGCATCAGGTCATCTGCAGCACATTTAAATCGAACGTGCTCATCTAGTTTACGATAAGGTGGTTCGTCAGATTCGTGATATAGCTCCATGCTTGACAGTCTTGGCAGATTCTGGACCACAGTCTGCAAGTTTAGATAGTTTGTGCCGTACCTTGGTGTCAAGGTTGATGCTACTTCCATCTGCAGAATCTCGACTTTGGGGCGGTAATTAACTATGGTGGCGTCGGGAGGCAAGTTTAAAGTGTCGATGAATTGGCTAAGAGAGGTTTGAGGAGCTTTGGTATATCGCCAGTGGTGGTAGAATGGAGGACACTTATATAAATTTGCCAAGGCAGGCTCGAGAAAAGTCTTGCAAACCCGTGCGGCTGCCATCAAACTGCCGACCGCCTCGGCGACATCCTCGCGCCGTGATGAAAGGTCACGAATTGGCACGGCGACGTTGTCGAGAACACACAATAGGACATGATATGGGAGAGTTGCCCAAGGAGGGTGAGGCGTATCAGTGTCGGAGGGAGTTATGGGTGAAGCCGCAGGTGTGACTTCATTTGAATTCGGAGTACTGGGAGTTATAACGGTTGGAGAGGCTTCTTTGATGACCTTGCGTGTTCGGCGCTGGACTTTTCTCGGAGATGGCGAATAGTCATCGCGGGTGTTCTTTCGCTTTCGCGTGTTGGGGAACGTATGTTTAATCGGAGCATTACTACTTTCGAGGTCGTCGTCATCATCGTTGAAGTCGTTGTCGGATTCAGATGAAAGCGAGTATGAACGGAAGTATGCGGCGGTTGATCTGGTTGTGCGGCGTGGTGCCTTCAACTTGGCAGCGCGGGATGGATTACTCCGAAGAGATCTTCGAGGGCGATCCATTGTCGGAGTCGAGAATCATTAGATTGCTTGAAGTGACAAGCGGGCACAACGACGGTTGGCATAGAAATAACAAGGGGATCGAGAGGTAGAGCCACATATGCTACTGCATAGTAGGTTGAATGGGGGTTTTGCAGGTGAATGCTCTGGTGTGAATTAACAATTGGAATGGGTTAGGTAAATCGGAAATGGGTTGTGTTTATCCTAGGAAAGTACAACGTACGAAGTACGGCATTGACTCACTGCAGCTAAAATAGATTGGCGGGATGTCCCACTTAATAAGGTTTTTCGCTTATGATTGGATCTACCTCCTGTACCCCACCATCCATGTGTAGCCTCTTACAAGAACGTACCTCCTGCACGCAGCTGAAACTGTATCTACGTACCGCTGAACTTCAGCTTGTCGCTCTTAGGAGATGAAAGTTAGACGACCACGTACTCATATGTAGAAGATATTTAGAATGAGTTTTAACTATACTATATATAAACTAGTTGGGATTATGGACGTAATAACGCCCCAAATTTACTTACTGCGGCCAATGCCACGATCATCGACGTCAATTAATAGCGCTACTTGTATTGAGCTTGTAATAATGCAAGTCCCCGTTCCCGTTTCAATATGTCTTGCCAAAAGTTACCGGTATTTTGCGTCTTATGTATTTAAAGATGTGTATATTAAAGGCCGACGACTGGTTCGTTTAGTACTTAATATAGCAACTAATAGATTATAAATCGTGTAGTCACAAACGCATAGCTGTTTTAATAATATTTAATGGATATTCCAGTTGCTGCCACTTATTTGAATTAACCATTTCTGATTGAACGGCTACTTATGTAAGTTATTAATCTATCGAGACTAAACCCTTGCAGTGTATATAGGTAGCTTTAGACCTTGCTAGGTTTATTTTACGGCTTGACTTAAATAGTGAACTGATTAGCTTGAAATTACTTATAATGATATAAACACTTGGCCTAGTCTATTAGTCTTAAACCAGAATGGACTTATTGGAACCGGATATTTAATAACCTGCGCAGGTCTTGAACCCTTGTGCATGCTCTCTATTTACATATATTGAAGCAGGCTTAAGCAATGTGAATCCAAGCTGGGTTTGTTAGATTTAGGGTTTAGTAGTACCGAGCAATATCGAGGGTTTGTAAAAAAAAAACTGATTTATATTATTTGGGGGTATATGTTCAAAGATACCTATTCAAAAATTTAGAAATGGCATATTTATATTAGTCATTCACTAAGCTGCGTCTGTCATCTATACGTTGATCTACTCTGGCACCAGTAGCAAACGTCTATTTGCTATCTATCAGCTCGGGCAAATATCTACTTGTAATGTTTAGTCTGCATCTAGGTTTTGTTGGTTAAACTTGCACAGTTTCAAAAGGAGTCCATCAATGTCATCCATGCGATAATGTAACAAAGGGGGGGGAAGGTGGGTCGCAACATTGAAATGTATTTGTGGCTTGCACTTCTTTATAAGTACGGATATCAGGTACGTACCTTTTTGTAATGCATAGATCCGCCACTTAGAAGATGCGACTGTATGTAGCCACACATTTCTTAACCCCTGCAGGATTGGTTCTTTCTTCCTCAGCCTACCTTGGTTAGTCGGAACGCGTCGACGGGTTCTTCCACTTTTCACGCATCGCATCGCGGACATGTCAACCGCATCACATGCCCTCCCAACTTATTTCTCTATAGTCACATTTTCCTAGGTATACTCACGACTACTATCGCAACTATATGCGCCGGCAAACCCACAGCTTTTGCCGATAAATCGTCACTTCGAATCACTTCCAACGTAAACAACCAGGTTCATGGCCAGCCACACTTAATTTGTTGCACATCTCATCACCATAGCCACTCTCTTCACTCATTCTTAGACTTCACTTCGTCTTAGCCCCAATTCCTCACCCAGCTTTCATCTCAGTTTTACGCCATAATTCTCATTGACTTGTCTCTGGCGCTAAGGATATTCAATAATGCAACTTCAATACCTGTAATTCCTAATTGGTTGCGTCCAGACTTGGTGCTTCCTAGGCAATTGCTCGGCAACACTCATACCTGCTTACTCTCCCTCTTTAGCAGGAGTTTGCCCGGCAATATTCCATAGCCGTTTGGTCATTCCTGTATATTCTACTTGACTGCTCCATCTCTAAAACAGGGTACCACAACACCGTGGTGACTGCGCCGATGTTCTCCTTTAGAGATGGCAACCATCACCCCCTACAAACGCGAACTACCTTTCATCCACCGAGCCTGGAAAACTGCCGTCGATCACCTATCTCCATACGGCATGGGAATCAAGTTATCATCAACAAACGGTGACAGCGTCGTTAATGATGAGCATGGCTCTCGTGCTACCAAAAGACGTCGCATAGTTGAAGACTCACCAGAGTCGACTCCAAATGGCGCCGTTGGCCACTTATTATCTGAAAATTACGATGACTTCGAAAAAGCCCTTCGTGTGGAAGTTCTCCAGATTAGCCACAAGGAAAGTTCTAATTTCAGGTCCAGCAATCTATTGAATGGCACGGGATCTCCCGCAAAAAAGGATACTCCGACTATTCGTATTCGCTGTAAGCTTAGCATTTTCCGACTACGCGGGTCAAAGGAAGTTCGCATCCTCTATTGCGATAGCCAGATATGCAATATAAAGGTTTTTCGAGACGCAGACGATGTCTGCCGGAGAGCTAGGATATATCTCAACTCGCCATTTCATGTCCCCGCGGACAAAATATTTGTTGAGCGAGATGACGATAATGGGTTTGATCTAGCTGATAACTATCTCGTTCAAGCCGAGCTGGAGTCGGCTGGCGATCCATGTTGGCCACCCGTTGACCTACTACCCAAAGAAGAAACCCAGGGCAACCTCTCGAGCAACCCACGGCATTGGGTTTTGACGTCTCAAGTCGTTTACAGGTTTGAAAAGCACCGGGCCTCAACACCTGTCAAGATCAGGAAACGAGTCGGTCAAGAAATGGGGACTGAACTAATGATGGACATGGATCTGAGATGGTCTACATGTCATAGAGCAGGTAGTACTACCGAAGTTGAAGTTTCACCGCCAGAGACCAAGGCATCATTTCCTAGTAGTGCTCTAGAGCCCTTAACAAACGGACATGTCAATGGGAGGGCGGATAATGCAACAAACGGTGTTTTGAGAGATGACCAGGATGTCTTGATAGAAGACGACGAGGATCATGAAGAGGCGGCAACCCCCAGTCGTTCACTAAGAACGAGGGGAAAGCAAAACTACAATCTCAAGCTACTGAGTGACAAGGCACGAGGGAAAGAGCGTAAAGAACGCAAGCAACGTAAATTGGCTGAGAATAGAAGCCAAGCCGGGCAAGTTACGTGGGTGCTCCCTCAGACCGGGGAAGTCGTACTAAAGAATTACCAATGCATACGATGCTATGCTGCTCATTCATCCATGAACCAGCTAGTAGAACATGTTAAGGTCCATTACCAGTTCAAGTATGACTTTGATGTGAGTTCCTCCCGCATCTGGATCTCTCATCATGGTCAAGAAACCCCGCGTCGATCTAGCTCGTACATATTGGACATTCAAAGTTCAGAGGGCCCCGAGAGCGACCTCGAAGACAGTATATCTCTTCATAGGACCCAGAACACCCTAACGCAGTCAAAGTCTTTGCAGGTAAGTTGACATAAAATGGCCGAGCGGATACGGCGAAAATTGGATGATACTAACCCCGTGCAAAGACATATCTCCCAGGTCGTCCCAAGGATACAAGGCAACAAGTGCCAAATAACAAGCAGCCTATGTACGATCGTCTCAGTAAAGCGTTGCTTGAACCGGGGTCTTTGGTTGATCCGCCAGACATCGACGATACTTGGCTGGTACAAAAGCACCGAGACATCATTCGGGATTACAGTGATGTCCACCAAGATGAGAAGGAATATATCTCAGAATGGGATGCTTACGTAAATAAAGAATGTGTCACTTCGGAGCCTCATTTACAAGACGTTTACCTCAAATTCGTTCAAGATAAGGCGTTGTGGCTAGTTGCGTCTCAGAGCCGCATGACGGAATTCTCAAAGCACTTGAGCTACCTGAAAGCAAGGAACTCTTTAGTTGAATCAACTATTGTTAAGGCGCTTGCGATTATGCGGCAAGCTAGGTCTCAGAAGCGTCCTGAACAGCCTGAGACTACAAAGCCACCCTCTCCGAGAACTCAGTATCGCAAGTCGGCGTCAGGATGTGCGGTCTGTGGTCAACCAATCCGAGGACCATCCACACTAATCTGCTCAAATTTGGTTAGTCAGACCGTATCTCTTTACTTTCCCTTTAAACTCATTCCAGAACGTAAAGCTAACTGTCCGTAGGATTGCGATAAGCCCCTATACCACATCAATTGCATCCGAGGACATATAAAGATGCCTGTAGGGTGCCGCAACTGGCGTTGCAATGATTGTTGCAGCAATTAGGGAGCTCTGGGCGTGGACGTTGTAACATGTCTAGCTCACGTCTACTTTATGTTAGAAGCCAGAAATCACCTTTATAAGGGTGGTGGTTAAAGGCGGGTAGTTCGACTCGGAAATCCTGGCCTTAACTCCCGAGGGAAATACATGGGGCTCGTGAACAATAGGTGATTTTAGAGTCCCAGTTGCGATCAATGTTGAATAGGTGGCAACGAGGTATCCCCAACTTCTCTGTAACCCATACTACGTTTTTGGAGCCTTCTCTAAAGAAGCTTCACCAAACATACCATACCTATAACCGATGAGGTAATCTACTGCCATATGAAATAAGGAATTTAGTTGATAATTAGTTGCCTCATCATCCGTGAATCTAGTAAGAATCTAGTAAGAGTACTCTCTAGTAAATGCCATTATATATGAGCCCATCGAATTAATAAGTTAAGTACTTCTTACCTAAAGTAGACTTCGCTACATAATTGATTCTTCAAGATCGATCTAGAATAATTCACCATCTTAATAAGCATCGCCCACCTTATTATGTGACCTTGACTTTTATCTTTGCAGTGTATCATAATCCTAACACTTACCTGTCTGGGTCTACTCCTAAACATTCCATAGGTCATTAAGATAATATCACTATTTCCAGTTATAATAGAATATTCTTTCACTGGAGGTAAGCGTTAGTTAAATAGTGTATAAGGAGCAGGTAGTTATAAATATCCTACGGCGTAGAATCAGAACCGTAGAAAGTCGTGAATGTATCATTTTCAGTGCTAACGCTAGAGGCTACACCAAACCCCTTTACATAATTTCTTCGTCGTATAAACTAGCAATAAGCTAGCTCGAAAATGAATAACTATTAGGGATAATTGGAATCCAGTCACTTCAAGGAAATGAGGCATCATCATTGACTAGGTCTCAACTTGAGTTGGAATGAAATTACCTCTACATGTTCGCGCACGAAAGGTATGTGGTACTTGTTACAACTTCCGAGGAATCACTAGGTTTTCGTTGCTATAGCTGTAATTGTAATAGTAGGATACATCAACACGTGTTGTCAAAACTGGAAAAGGGATGAGTCACTCAAAGTTTGTTATCCGTTTCCAACCACATATCAAATACCTACCGAGGTCTTTCAATACTATTTAACCCTTTGATCCCTCTCTCGAATCCATCTCCACGATACCACCAAACCCCAAACCGCCATCTCAAACCGCCATCAAGCAGCATATCCCCCCTCCCACGACCAGTCATATTATCAGTACTACCAAACACGAGTAACTACCAGCCTTCACAGTACTCCTGCCACAATGTTGAGCCTCAGCATCATCCTCGCCCTCTTCTCCATGTTTATGATAGCTGATTACGTCGTGAGGTCAACATCGTCTAACAGGGAAAATCCAACTGGCTTGGGTATAGGGTGGTTCGCCGTTGTAGTATGTGTCGCTTTCATCGCATACATGTTCGGCCGCTGGATCGACAGCGACAAGAGGGACAATCAGAAAATCATTCCGCACAAATAGTCGGTCTTGTTGATTTCGAGGCCTCTGAGGTGAAAGCATTATATTCACTCGGAACAGATGGGTGTATTTCGGCGCGGATATGATTTACTAGAGCCACTTTTCTCTTCGCTGGCGGCTTAAGGTGTATCGTTACTCAAGCGGCTGGGTTGTGCTCCTGAACGAAGCTGTGGATATGGGTCCATTACAGTCAACAACAAAAACCCCTAACCCCTAACCGAGGTGGCAACGCATCCCTATCTAATAGACTATTCACTTAGAGCGATCCGTGGTTAATAGAATGCGAATGAATTCATACACCCTACTAATTTGTCACGGCTTTAATGTGAAATACTTTGTGGTACGTCTAATAAGTGATGCTATGAGAATCAGCTTATTGGCGATGAAATTGGTATCATCACCTGAATATAACTAAGACGAAGTAATCGACTAGCCAGTACTTCAATGGAGATTAACGATCACCTTTTACTTACATAGATGAGTTGTCACATGACCGGGGTTATATTGATAAAGCCGGGATACAGCTGGAATTGATTATATTTAGGTTCTCGAACTTCCTTCATTAAGAAGTGACCAGACCTTAAATATATACATACATGATTCGAAAACCTTGAACGGGAAAGGCTCATGCTGTGTTCCAAACTCTACAGATGTCGTGGAATCTCGAGAGAGTAAAAAGCGATGGCTGTACCCCGCATCCGAGAACGACGGGATGTTGCGCCGTTGGTCCAATCACCGGACCTGCATGGGTTCTACATACGATAACGAGCTACAGTTGGTTGATGATTTCCTGGTTATCTAGACCTCGGGATGTGGCATTGTATATATTACCTACCTAGGGATGGAATGTGGTAACGTTGCGGGGTAGATCTATTACTAGTTGATAGGTAATATTGTCTTATTCGAGGATTCCTACGGCACCGTGAGATCTGGGCATGACAAAGGAAATTTTAATGGACAACTCTTCGGACTCGTGGCAAGACAAAGCAGTCTCGGACCTCCTAAAATCACAGTTCTACGGATAGGTTCCCTTGGATAATCGGGGTTAACATGGCCAGATCCCAAGAACACGGAGAGCAACCTTCTCGAGTAGGGGAAGGTGACGAAGAGAAGATTCAACCGGAAATTCAGCAGCATATTAGCAGAAGTGATAAGCATGATTCTGAAAAGGGCCTTGGAGATGGACAAGGCCCGGGGAATGGGCAATATGCTCAGATCGACCCGGCTATTGCCAGTCGCATCGCGGAGAATGTTGACGACTTCATGGTAAGACTTACACTTTTTTATGCCTATAGAACTACAAAGTAGAGGAGACATATTAAACCGAGAATAGACCCTCGTCAACGAGGCGGACGACGCAAATGAGAGGGAACGAGATATGAAACTTTCCCATGCCTTCAAGGTGTATCCTAAAGCCGTCGGCTGGTCGATGCTCCTCTCGTCATGTATCATAATGGAGGGATTTGGGACTTCGATTGTTGGCTCGTGTAAGTCAATGCTTGTTACTGCTTGCCCCGATGTATATATTAATATCAATCTCGTAGATATTTCTTTCCCCCCTTTCCGCGATAGGTTCGGCACTCAAGCACCCAATGGAGACTATCAGATCCCCGCGAGTTGGCAGAATGGCATTGCAGGCGCAACCAATGTTGGCGAGATTATTGGCCTTCAGGTACACACTCTTTATTTATCCCTGAAGCTTTATACTAAGAGAAGACTGCCCTAGATTGCCGGTGTTCTGTCTGAGCGCTGGGGCTACCGTTGGACGATAATATCTGCATTGGTTGCTGTCACGGGATTCATCTTCTTTCCGTTCTTCGCCAATAGCCTCACGATATTCCTCGTTGGTGAATTATTCCAGGGCATGGCCTGGGGCATTTTTCAGACCATGACCGTGGCCTACGCAGCTGAGGTCTGCCCTGTACCCCTGAGGCACTATCTTACCAGCTATGTCAACCTCTGCTGGTTAGTCTTCAACCAACAAATCTACGAGTTTTACCTCTGCAAATTAGATACTGATGCTACTCTACAGGATTATCGGCCAATTCATCTCGGCGGGTGTGCTTGTCGGGCTCGAAGGTCGACAAGACGAGTGGGGGTAAGTTTAGATCTTTGTTCTGGGTTGACGATGCTTGCACTAAGAACTACCCCTAGATACAAGATCCCCTTCTCCCTACAATGGATATGGCCGATTCCTATCGCTATCGGCACATATCTCGCACCAGAGTCGCCCTGGTGGTGCGTTCGACATGGCTACAAAGAACGAGCGGAGAAGTCGCTAAAGCGGCTGGCTCGTAGTTCCGGGTTTACCCAGCGCGATGCCGATGCGGCAATGGCTTGTAGGTCGCCCCCAATAACTTTAGTATATTATCTCTAGCTTAGGCGACTAATTCTATAGTGATGGTCTATACGGACGAGATGGAGAAGCAGGTCTCCGAGGGGACCAAATACTGGGACTGCTTTAGAGGTACCGATCTTAGGCGGACTGAGATTGTATGCTTTATATGGCTCGCACAAACCATGTCTGGTACAGCTATCGGTGGCCTATCGTCTTATTTCTACCAGCAGGCGGGAATATCAGACGCAGATTCGTTCAAGCTAAGCTGGGGCCAGAATGGTCTCAACGCTGTCGGGACAATCGCTAGTTGGTTCATCCTGAACAAGGCTGGCAGAAAGACGTTAGTGTTCTGGGGAATGATCGTGATGTTTATTTTACTCCTGTATGTTTTAATATCCCCCTTCTCGCCTCTATATGCCTCTATATGCCTACTATTCCGGAACCTTAGTTATTCTTCCTTTTAGGCTAACTCCCCTATTACCAGGATCACCGGCTTCATGGGAATTCATAATCCACCTAGCACTGCAGAAGCCTGGACAGCAGGAACAATGGTCATCCTACTAAGCGCCACATCCAACTTCTCCATCGGCCCTGTGGTTTATACCATCGTCTCCGAGATCCCATCGACACGGCTGCGTGCCAAATCCATCATCTTGGCCCGTAACGCCTACAACGCTATTAATATCGCCTTTATTAATATTGTCTCGTACCGGCAGATCAATCCAGCCGAGTGGAACTGGGGCCCCAAAGCTGCTTTCTTCTGGGCTGGCACGAATATTATCTTTACGGCTTGGATCTTCTTTCGACTGCGTTAGTATCCCCCGTGTTCGGATAAGTTATCTGTTTCCCTTAGTTTATAGGATTGTTACTAATCCCCGGATCGCCTTCATATAGCTGAAACTAAAGGTCGAACCTACGCCGAGCTCGATATACTGTTCGAGAATAAAGTACCTGCTCGTAAGTTTGCGAGCACTAAAGTCGAAACCCTACTTCGGGGCACAGAAGGCGCACAAAAGGAACAGGTAGATCTTATTACCAGTAATGATGCGGGCGAAAGGAGAGCTGAGACTTAGATGCTGTACTTCTCTTATCCCCTATGTTGTTAGTGAACGCGGGAATATTTACGGTAGAATCATGTAGGAAGAAAGGAGAGTACGTTATAACTGAATTGTTTACCAAATAAACGAGTGCATATATCAAGCTGTTGTGAAAGGTAGGTACGGAAGAACATTTATTATCCAGTCTCCCGCCTTGGAGCATATCACCTCTGATTGAATTGATACCCAGGCAATGAGGACTTGCAAACCGCCTATCGATCCCGATGCTATACACTAATAAGTACAGGTCAATTTATTATTAGTCCTCTTCTAGGAAGCGAATCAGCCTAGAATCTATATTTCTTCCTTTCGTCTCTCTTCTCCTCGTCACGCTTCAGCCTCTTGCGACTCTCATTCGCAATCATCTCTTCCAAGCCTTCTTCTCTCCTCCAATTAGCACCAATGCCTTCATCACGCCGGCCTTCTTCAAATCTCTTCTGCATCTCGTCCTTGCTGATACCATCCGCCAATGCGTCTGGATCGAAAGATACATCTACATCGCCAGGCTTCTTCCGTTTCCGGCTGCTATCTTCGTCCTGGCCGAGGACACGCATATCCCCGCCAGCGTTCTTGAGATCATATACACGGTCACTCCCGAAGAAGCCTTCTGCTCGAGCCTGCTTCTCTTGAATGACCGTGTAAGCTGAACGAGGGTGCGTGCTATCTTCGGTCTCATAACCACGACGGGACTTCCGTAGATCCAACTCTCCGGCTACAGACTCGGTCGTCGTACCATACTCTGTCGGTACACTGCTAGCCAAGCCGCCGGGTGTTTCCATGCCAGAAGGAGTCTGTAACCCTGCACCAACATCTTCCTCATCTTCTTCCTCTTCCTCCTCGTCTTCTTCTTCTTCTTCCTCCGACTCCTCTTCAGGTTCTTGAAGCTCGCCCCACATTGTACGCTCAATAGGCTCACCAGGAGGGGGTGCTGCTTGGGATGGCTGCATGATACCGAAGATATCTCCTCCATACAACGGTCTGTTGTATTCATCGACGGGCGGTTTGCCATAACATCCTGGGTTAAAACCCCATTGGGCACCTGGTGGAATAGGGGCGTTAAGTCCGGGAATACGAAGAGAGGGATAAGAAGGAGGCGGGCCGAATCTTTGTTGATGGATGAGCCATGGCGGAGGGGCCCCAGGAGGGATACTAAGCGCATCTTTCAAGGTATCGCTTAGCTCTCCGGGCCGGAGATGCCGCAGATCTGTTTCGTATTCCTTGCCCTCATAGTAGACTTCACCGAAGCGTGTTAATTGAGGTTTACTTTGAAACCTGAAAAAGGCATCGTAAAGCTTCTGGTAATCGATATCAAGCTTGCCCATTTTCGGCTGTACTCTTTCGCGCTGCTTCTGCTTTAGAGTTTGCTCTGCTTGTTTCTCTAGTACAGCATCTCTCATCTCTGAAATGCCAGTGTCCGCGATAAACTTTGGTAATTTAAAGGCAGGCTTCTCGATACCTCTCTTGGATGAGAGATATTCGCGTTTAAGTGACCAGTGGGAAGGTACCGGGACCACGTTTCGTTGCGCTTTGATCTGGACTAGCATTCGAGGGTCTGATGATGATGTATCATGCCATTCCACAACTTCGGGTTTCTTTACTAGCGCTTTAAGTTCTGCAATAGAGAGCTTGTTGAGCATCTTCCGCTTCTTCTTCGAGAGTTTGGGCTGCGTATTTCTTTCTTCTTCTTCGTCGGGTATTTCGTTGTCGTCGTCAAAGTAGACCTCACCCTGGTTGCCGGCGTTGGCTTCCTTTGCAATATCATCCTCCTCTCTCGATACACCAAACTTGGTAAATATATCTTTGTATATGGAGAAGGTAGGATCTTCGTGGTCGAAATCGAATTCTTCAGCGGATTCAGCAGGTCCATCGGCAGCGATTTTATCTGACGAAGTAGGTTCCTTCTTGACCTCAAGCTCTGTCGTGTCGCTATTATTAGGTGCATCCTTTGTCGGCTCCAATTTTGCTTCATCTGTTTGAACCTCTGGAGTATCGTCGGCCTTGAATGTTTCCTGCTTACATATTAGCATTAAAGGCCTGCTTCAAATTGGGCTGCAAGGACATACCTCTATCTTAGTCTGTTTTTCTACCTTCTTCTTTGCGCGGCGCTTCTGATTCTTCGTCATTTTAGGAGGAGCCATCGTGATAGTCTGTTTAGGCTCGCGCCTCTTTTTATTGAAAATCTATGCGACGACTCAGGCGCGACGCCCTTACTCTCCCTTGACGAAAGAATTAGATTTACCCGGGGTTCCAGATTATTAACGACTGGTGATTAGGTAGGTTCAATTTAAAAGATAGAACACAGTGAATGGTAGCGTTTGGGATGAGCTTGTTCGTTGATAAGGCTGACTTGAATGGATATTGAATGGATAATTTCAACACGCGACTTTGAAAACTGAAGTCTACGAAGTAGCTTTACTAGCTTAGAGCTTCTCCAGCCACATTCCCCATTTAAATGGTGAAATTCTTATCTTAGGTACGTGGCGCAAACTTTAGCCGTGCAATCCATAGGTTACTTATCGGGTGCATAATCAATGCGTCAGATCTGGCCAAATTTAGCTACAGTACTTAGGTACTTGGCACGTCCTAGCGTTTTGCTTAATTGCGGGTGACGCTTGGAACTTTTTGGGAACATTCTCTTGGCATTTCGTTACGAGATTCTCCCATTTTTTCAATCGCGTCAGTCAGCCAGTCATTTCAACAGGGGTCGCCACGCGGCAGAAGTCAGACCCTCCTTATTACATTACCTATCTAACCTACGCAGATAGTCAGTCGATGTTTTATTCATGGATGAATCTGATACTGTACTACCAATCTGTTATCCATAATAACCGGCCAGCGAACCTCGCAATATCAATCATATCGCATCAAGCTTTGCATTAGGTCCGAAGCAATGATCGTATGAACTGAACTCCTTGATTCGAGCAATTGCGCATTGCTTGTCACTCGTTATAACTTCACCAACCTGCACCGCAAACTCCGTTACCTCGATGCCTCATTCTACGAGCTCGGGCTCCTATGCCCGAGAATCCTCCGTACCCCGATCCAATGCCAAGCATCCGGACGATCAAGATATCGATTCCGGCCTGGAGAAGTTTCCAGACCATATCGATTCTCCGGCGATGCGCGCCAATGGTGCAAGATCCATGAGCCCTGCCGGGCTGAACGCATATGGGATTGGGTTGAGTGGAGGAGCTCAGATAAATGGAGATCGTTGGCAACCACGAAGGGACCTTTCTGCATCAAGAGGTGTACGATTTGGCTCCCCACTAGGTCCGTCAGCAGGTGTTCCTCGAGGCCACGGACGACAGAAGAGTATTAGTGAAGCCTTTCGTACTATCAGGGATAGAAGCGGCAGCGTTAGCCAGAATGCCCATGAATTAGCAGATGCGCTACGGGCGCCCGTATCCCCGAAGCTCATTGTATGTCAAATAAACATTATGGCTACCCTGTCCGACATGTGCTGACGTGACATACGTAATTGTCTAGATCCTCTGTATTATGTGGTATATGTCATCTGCCTTGACAAATACGTCTTCGAAATCCATCCTCAACGCTTTCAACAAGCCTGCCACCTTGACCATGATTCAGTTCTTCTTGGTCGCCTTTTACTGTCTGGCCTCCTCGTGGCTGGCCAGCGTATTCCCTTCCCTGCGAGATTCGATCCCGGCATTGAAGAACCCAATACGATACCCATCGAGGGATGTCATTATGACAACGCTCCCCTTAGCTGGATTTCAGATTGGTGGCCATCTACTGAGTTCCACGGCAACCTCTAAGATTCCGGTATCTATGGTACACACTGTAAAGGGACTTTCACCATTGTTCACCGTTTTTGCTTACCGGTTTATATTCGACATACGATATCCGAGAGCTACGTACTTTTCCCTGGTACCGCTTACACTAGGTGTGATGCTCTCCTGTTCATCGAACCACACCTTTAAAGGAGAGATCGTAGGAATTATATACGCTCTTTTGGCGACTATTATCTTCGTCACACAAAATATCTTTTCTAAGAGGCTCTTTAACGAGGCAGCCAAAGCAGAGGCAGATGGTCTATCAGCAAAATCCCGCAAGCTCGATAAATTGAACCTTCTGTGTTATTCCTCTGGTCTTGCTTTTCTGCTGACGTCCCCAATCTGGTTCTGGGGCGAAGGTATCGGACTTATCAGGGACGTCTACCACGACGGTTCTGTGGATCTCTCTTCGCACCCCAACAGTTTTGATCATGGGCGCTTAGCACTCGAGTTTCTGTTCAACGGCACTTTTCATTTCGGACAAAACATCCTAGCTTTTGTCTTACTATCGATGGTATCACCCGTAACATACTCGGTTGCGTCTCTTATTAAGCGAGTGTGGGTTATTACAGTCGCGATTCTATGGTTCCGCAACCCTACGACTCCAATCCAGGCCGTAGGCATTGCGTTGACATTCCTTGGTCTCTACTTGTATGATCGGACGAACGACAGCAACAAGGCCGACCGACGCGCACGTCTTTTGAGTCAGAGTGCGGGAGGGGACCAACCACTGCTACCGCTCAATACGACCCAAAATAAAACAGGTGTTTCTGGCCAAGCATCGCAGATTTTTGGGAGCCCGATGTCTATGTCTAACGGACCGACGCCTCATCCTTATACTAATGGTCATTCTTCGCAAACGAGTTCTGTAGCCGATGATTTTAAGAAAAGCGATGATGCCGGCAAAGGCCGACAAAGAGGTAGCAGTAACGCGGCTTGGTTGCCACCCGGTACTAGGCAGGAAGAAACTTGGAGATACGAGGATAGAGTTAGTGTTCGATGATTTATAGGCTTTCCGGATAGAGCCAGAAGTGTATGAGACGTCGGAAGTTACGTATGAAAACTGATTTCTTTTTTTGGTACACGGGATACTAAGTCAGTACCCATGTTATTCAAAAAGTTGTTGTCACTGCAATCATCTCGCAAATAGAGGCTCGTGGTTAGGTAATTATGAGCTAGGCCTACAAGGCATGAGACGGAATGGGATTGGAATACGGCCAATTTGGTCGTCTGTACAAGTATCCTATAGATCAATGGGATGCGATGTTGCATAGGCGTAGGATTTAGATTTGTGCTGTAAGGGCCTCGGATA